CTATTGTAAAGTTCCCATTGATATGAGTGGTAGAGGCTCCGATGCTTACAATCAGTATGGCTGCCAGGGAGTAAATCAGAGCAGAATTCAGCCTGACAAAAACGGTAATCTGCATTGGAGTTACCCTCCTTTTCTTAAATCAGCATAGATATTTTCTTAGCAATACACTCGTGCTGTCATGGATGTAGTGACTGGAAGGCTTGCACACACTGATGCTCTCTAATGTTCTCTGTTAACACATTCTAAATTATTACTTGAAGTATTTTTTTCTATGCTGAGTAGTGGTTTTTGACTAAAAAAAAGGAAGAAGAATCACAATTGTTGCTCACAAGAAAACCGAAACCAAACCAGCGTGCATATGACAAAGGCAGTGCCTAATTATAAACAGCCCACATTAATGCTGCAATGGGAAGATGTGATTATACCCCAATATGTCAACATGTTCTCTCTTTCCTGCACTTTAGATAAAAACAGAGTAGCTGAAAATAGTTATTTTTTTCCTGCATATAATCCACCCATGGGGAAGGTCACAAATTTACTTCTGGATACATAAAAACTAGTTGAAATACTGCAATAAATTTGATTGATACCAGAACAAAAATGTTGATTTTGGCGCATCACTAATATGGTGCCACTATTGAAGTGCTCACAATTCTCCCATGCTACTTAATACAAATATAGGACTTTCAATCTTTCAAGGGCTTTGGGACAGTCATTGCAATTTCTTGCAATACCTTTGGGAGATCTTATTATATTAACTTTATGTATCATTGTGGGCCAGGGACTGTAGGTAATTCTATATGGGAGGGTGATCACAGGTCTCCAGAGACTAGAAACAGCAGGTCATGCATTCATAACAAATATATATTCCTTTCCAAGGACCTGGACCTGTAGGGTTCTATCATGTCACCCCTCCTGTTCAATATCCACTTGTGGCCACTGAGAGATAGTGAAACATTCTGACCTGCAGTGTCACCAATGTGTGGATGACACTCAGATCTACATTTCCTTTTTGTCCAATCCTGATACAGCAGATCCTGTGCTTTCCCAATGCATGCTGGGGTGTATGGGCAGGGGAAGTGGATAGACTCCAAACTGGCTTTGATTCAATCCTGATTTTAGGCAGAACTAATGATGATTGGCTTAGGCGCCGACTTCTACTGGTGTCGGTGGGTGCTTGACCCCCCTGGCTCTACCCTGACTCCATCCCTGCCCCACCACCTCCCATTCCAACCCCTTCCCCAAAGTCCCCGTCCCAACTCCGCCCCCATTGCTACTCCTTCCCCAAATCCCGGCCCCGGCCCCGCCTCTTCCCCTGAGTGCACCACATTCCCGCTCCTCCCCCCTCCCTCCTGGAGCTTGCTACAACTCACGGTGGCAAGCAGCAGGAGGTAGGTGGAGGAGCGGGGACGTGGCGCGCTCAGGGGAAGAGGCGGAGGCGGTGAGGAGCGGAGAACTTGGCTGCCGATGGGTGCAGAGCACCCACTAATTTTTCCCCGTGGTTGCTCCAGCCCCAGAGCACCCATGGAGTCGGTGTCTATGATGATAGGTGGTGTGAATCATCTTGGGGAACGAGCAAGGGTGCTTAGTGCATTTTCCTTTGGGATTGTATGTCTCATTTTTGCCAAGAGATTGGGGCCATCTCAGTTCTTAAATTCTCAGGTAGCAGCTCTAGGACGCAGACAAGAGTCCATGTATTCTGTAGCAACTTGGACCCTAATTCTGCAGCAAGGTCCCTGGATTCTATGGCTTTGTAGAACATCAGATCGGAAATTCTGTGGCAGCTTCGGTTTAAATTTGAAAATGGAGGATTTTCTTGAAATAAGTATGAAAGCAAACAATACAACCAGTACAGTACTCAGTCTGTTATTTGGTTTGATATTCAATTCAGTGAACAATGCTGATTTTTAAGCTATCTTTAGGTTTTCATAGTTACCACCCCTACAGATGAGTTCACACTTCTATGAGCTTTTCTTTCAGGCGATCACCTGCAGATTCAGGCAGACATCACTGCATTGGTTACACTCGGGTCACATTTTCAATGTTATTTTCACAGCCACGAGGACAAAGAGAATATTGAGCTGGATCCTCAGCTGGCATATGTTATCATCGTGCCCGTGTTTCAGTGCCCCTATGCCAATTCACATGAGCGGAGGAACTAACTTGTTTGTTTTTTTAAATGAAAGCTTAAATTCCGAAGCATGATTTTGCAGCATAGGTTAGATTATATGGATGCAGAGTCATGGAGTATACAGGGTCCTGGACACAGTGCCTGTTTCTATCTAACATAGGTCCAGAGGTTGTGCCTCTTTCTTTATGATGCAGACCCTGGCATAGGGACCTTTGTAAACTGTAACGTGGATTACTGTAACACAGTGCACTTGGAGCTACCCTTGAAAAATGTCTCTGAAGTGGGGGTCAAGGTACCATATCGGCGCGTAACACCAAGGCCAAATTCTGCCCTGACTCACATTTTCTGCAACCCCACTAAAGTCCACAGGGTTGCACACGGTATGAGTCAGGGCAGTACATTACTCTCCAGCTATCTATTTGCATCAGAGTGCAATTTTATTAGGTTAGTTATCATCTACAAAGCCCTACATGCTCTAGCATAGTTATCCAAGAGGACTGCTTCTCTCTACAGCGCACAGCATTTTACTTAGTTTGGTCAACCCACTGAAATTAGTTTGCTTTCACATAATACTGAGACTTGAGTTTTTGTATGTTGTTGCTCTGGAATGCGGGTTTGCATGGTTCGTCCTTAAGATCAGAGGCTGGTATTTTCTAATGGCTTTTATAAACGTACAGTATTTGCCAAAGGGCACCAAAGTACATTTATAAATAAACAAAACACAGGACTCCTGCCAGGAGGAGCACAAATGAAATTCACCAAACTAACGCATGTGCCTGTTTTCTTGCATTGTCCCTTCTATTGCTTCATCCCTTTGTTTTTCTTTTTCCATCTCCGTGCCATTTCCCCCTTTTTGACATTATTTTCTTACCTCCTGCTTTTTTACTTTTAAAAGCAGTACCCTTTCCTTTCATTTTCTCCCTTTTATATTCACACTCTTTGTTGTCCTCCCATTTGCCAGTCTCATATCTCCTTGATTTCTTTTCTGTGCTAATATCTGTCCTCTTTGCCAGGAGTGATATACCTAGCTCACTGGACCTAATCCTTGTTCTGGTGAAGCTCCACGATGTGATGGAATGGCAGATGGGCATCCCTTTTCGCTATAGCCTGGCAAAATGGTTGCCTTTTTTCCCCATGAAGCAGAAGTCTAGAGCCTGCTTGGAGTGGGGCATCATGAAGCTCACATATCCTCATACAGCTAAGTTAAGTGTCAGGGGAGTAAATGAGAGTCTTGCATCTTGGGGATACACTTGTGCCTGCAATTCTGTATATATCACCTTCTTCTGTAAGAGGTCTACATTCAGTTCTAAGTTCTATAGGAGCAGGGTGGAAGGTGGATGGCTTTCCAGGAGTCACTTACTGCTATACTCAGTTACTGAAGTGCATCTGTATTGAGGAAGGACACGTTTGAGGTCATGCAAATTTTACCACCTCGGTTATTGCTTTCCTGTGCCCTACACCGGATTAGCCTGAGCCTCTGGCAAGGCACCCTGAGAAACACTACTTTAGTTCAAAGATACAGCTAGTTCCTATCCCCTTTACGTCCCCCATTCTGATCTTTCAGTCTCCTCTATGCTTCTCTCTATATTATATTGTTACTCCTTGGTCCTTCCCAGATCTCTGCCCCTAAAATTTCTCTCTCAACCCTGTGTTTCTTGCTCGCTCTCTCTCCCTGAGCTCCCCAGGCCTGTTTCTGTCTCAGGGATGAAATTAACCCTGTGTAGAAAACCAGCACAAATTATCATGTCCCACTTAAGCCTTAAACGTAGGGCCTAAGTGGTGCATAGGCCTTCTACTGAACCTCTGCACATGGATGACCTTCATCTCAAAAGTTTTGCTTGAATATTGTAGGATTTGGAACTTTTGTAAGATTTGGTGACATCTGAAAAGAAGGCCATATAACTGGTTTATCTTATCAAGAATTATAATTGGGTAGCTTCCTTAGCTAATAGACTAAACCTTGGCAAAAGTCATGTAGTACATTAAACTAACAGAAAACCAGATGCATCTTTTTTTAAATTATGATTTTTTGTTAAGCATGAGATTGTCTGTCGATACAACAAAAAACCCAAAACATCTCAGTCTTTGGATAATCTATTAGAAGAGTGTAATGCTACCATCTTTATTCTACCCTTGATTTGTCGATACTAGTCAGCTATAAACTATAGACCTGTAGTTGATAACTATATTTTAAATCCTTGAGCAATCAATTCAGAGAAATGGTTATACATTATTCAGTATGCATCTTGGTTAAATCAAACAGTTTCTGGGTTCATATTGGGTCTTTCTCTATATTTAGAGCTCCTGATTTAGTTATTTGGTGAGGATGACATTGATTGGTTTAAACAAATCTTCATAGACCTAACAAAAATGGTTTTGGACCAAGCCTTGAAATATTGTCGGTGTACACAATTTTTTTTTTAATACTTGTACCACTTAACAGATTTTGAGAATCAAGATGAATAAAGGGTAAATTTCCACTGAAGATCCAAAATATGTTATTCAACAAATTCCAATGGTGCAGCTTCAGCAAGCGATAGGAATAATTTAGTTGAGAAGTGAGAACTCACAAACATTCTTGAGTCTATATGGTGTACTTTAATAATGTAATGAACCTAGCATTAGTTTCTTGTACAACGTATACTAAGAGACACTCAACAGATAACGCTCAAATTCTGTTTTAATCAACTAATAACTTGTGAACTTTGAACAGGGCTGCCCAGAGGATTCAGGGGGCCCAGGGCAAAGCAATTTCGGGGGCCCCTTCCATAAAAAAAAGTTGCAATACTATAGAATACTATATTCTCGTGGGGGCCCCTGTGGGGCCCGGGGCAAATTGCCCCACTTGCCCCTCCCGCTCCCCCCCCGGGCGGCCCTGACTTTGAAGTTATAGCTGCAAGATTTCCGAAGGGTGAGTACAAATGTAAATCTTTTATCACTGTTATACAGCGATGTGAAATTAAACAAACAACCCAATCCTGAGTTTATTTCTGTGTAATTCACATCTTCAGTGAATGTGTGAATTTTTCTTTAATTAAAAAAAAAGGGGATTTCACTATACCAGTTGAATGCAAGATTTTGGTAGATAGTCATATTCTTATATATACACAACAAAAATGAAACATGCAATTCTTAAAGCCAAAAGAAATATTTCATTTTACAGCTAAAAGATAGCAATGTTAATAACTAAGGGCCAAATTCTGTCACCCTTACTCATTGAGACTATTAATGGAGTAAGATACAGTATTACTTAACAGAAAGAAAGGTGGCAGAATTGGGCCCCAAATTGACACTGTGTGATGACTGTCAGAAAACTGAAGAATAATCAGAGGTCCAACAGCTAATGAGATGCAGGACACACATTCCTGAATTGTGGCTATAAAAGCATGATTCAGGACTAAAATATTCCAGTCAAAATTAAAAAAAGGGGGACAAGGGGAAGTGTTACATAAAGTTGACTCCAAAATCCTTATTTAGGCCTACCTAAATAAGTAGATGAATTTTCAGGAGTGCCAAACAGTTCCTTTTGGGTCTTAATGGGACTAATTGTACTGCTCACCATTGCGAGTAAGGGGTTCACAATCTGCCCTGTATAACACAGAAGAATTATCTTTTAATGTATTTTTTCATCTCTAGTAGGGTTGTTGCACTAATTCTTCTATGGAGTCCTTTCCCTGAGACCACATGCAGTATCAAAATGGTACTGATTAAGCAGCTCCGGCTTCTCCCTAGGACAGAAAACAAAAGGAATAAAAATAGATACCTAATTTCAGCAGTTATAAATTCATCACTAATTAAAGACTAACTATGGAGTTTTCACTGGCTATTGTGATGAAAAATTAGCAAGATAATTTACTAAATTTATTTATTCTTTTAGCTTTCAAAAATCGATTTAAAGATCAAGTAATACACAGTTCAGTTTAATAGGACACCATCACTATATAATTTACGCATTGCCTACATTCATTAACTAATGAGATTATTTTTATACCACATAAAAAGGTCATATTTTGAACGCATGAGATTAGTTTAAAATATAATCCAGCCAATTGGTAGTACTATATTCCACAATGTAAGAATTGTCTTATGTCACATTTTAAGTACTTTTTAAATTAAAATGTAAAACATATACTAATATAACTCTAAAACAAGTGAATCATTAAGTGGCAATGGAATAAAAAACACTTAAGCTTGATGCTGGTTACATGAGATTTCACTTGAGATGGAACATAATGATATATTCAAGAGGACAGCATGGCAAGACTTATTTGGTCATCCACATGCCTTTATTACTCCTAGGGGAATTATGTGCCACTGCACATGTGCAGAATTCATGTGTCCCATTTCTCTGCAGAAAATACATTCTGCTGGAGAGGCTTTGCAGTTACAGCTTTTGCCCACCAGGGGCTGCTGTGGCATCAGAACAAAGAGAGCCGGCTCACCGCTCACCTGCCATAGCAATCAGCAGCTGATAGGGAGAGAGCAGAGGCTGAATTCCTCACAGCTCCCTGCCTGTGGGGCCAGGTGAGGAAGCATGAGATACGGGAGAGAACAGACAGAGCGGGATACACAGGGATGCTGGGGGTGGGGGGGTCACATAGATGGGTTCAGAAGGACTAGTGGGAGGGACAGACAGGACTGGGGGCTGAATGGGAGTGGGGGGCGCAGGGCCACATGGGGATGGGGGCAGCTGAGTGGGAGTGCAGAGACTCCAGTGGATAGGAGGGGCACGGACACATGGGGACAGGGGTGCATGGGGAGGGGTTGCAGAGACACATGGGGTGGGGGAGGGGTGGATGAGTGGGGGTGCAGGGACACATGGGGACATGAGACGTGCAGGGACACATGGGAATGGGGGACGGGGTGCATGGATATCGGCAAGGTGGGTGCAGGGACACATGGGGACAGGAGGAAAAGGGTGCATGGGGATCGGCATGGGGGGTGCAGGAACACATGGGGACAGGGGGAAGGGTGGCTGAGTGGGCATGCAGGGACACATGGTTGGGGGGTAGGGGGAGCAGGGACACATGGGGACGGGGTAGATGTGCCTGACTGATTGGAAGAGGCCAGGGGTCAGCCAGGGTCTGCATGGGGAAGGCTCCCCAACTTCCTAACAATCCCTCTCCACTTCACCCCTCCCCAAAATGTTCCATACTTCTACCACCCACACCCAAGAACCCTCCATGTTCACTCCCAGGCTCCTTCCAAGCAACTACATCCCTCTCCCTCAGCTCCTCCATGACACTTGACTCACTCAAGCCTTTGAACAGCTTCTGAGAGGCGTGTGAAATACGTTTCTGTATTGTAGTTTAAATGAATTATTACTCAAAGTCCTGTATTAATATGCCTAGTAAGGAATCTATTTGTAAAAAACCATTCCCTGAATCTTTTTTGTTGTCTGTATTGTTACAGACATACTTGTTGCAAGGAATTTTGAAATAAATGACCAAAATAATTGAAACTGGCGTGACTATATTGTGCTGTTTTGACTATATTGTGTTGTTTTGACAAAATATGCAGAATTTTTTATTTGGGGGGGGCACAGAATTCCCCCAGGAATACTTTATGGAAGAGATGTAGCTTGAAACTATTCCTTAGGTAGTACCAACCTTGGGGACAAGG